CAAATTTAGTAAGTTTATCTTCCTTCTTTGATAGAACAGACTTGGTGCTCATCTGCTGATGACTTACCTCCGATATATTTTGTCTGTGGTTTAATGTTTCACTGTGTTTCTTTAAACCACTTCTATGAGCTCTTATCTCAGTTCTACAAACTTTACAATATGCCTTATTTCCATCTTTCACTTCAGCCAACCACTTTTCAAACACCTTTTTGTCCTTAAACCAGGACATCTGAAACGCTTTCTGGTATATAGACCACTTCCCCATTTTACACTTCTTTATCTTAACACTTAAGCAAATTCTAAAAGTAACAGCTGTAACTTCTTTTCTATATGCGGTAACTTGTGTCGAACTATCCTTCTGGAGGTCAGAGCCACACTAACAATGCAAGCACAGATGAAGCTGCCAAGTTCACTGTATGCTAATCCGCTCTAACGACAGTCATTTGATTCTTGGAAACACCTAAAGAGAAACCTAATATTTACAGTAGGCAACAGTGGGAGGTCACTTAACATAGACAGTACCCGGGATGAAGTATTAATGGCAATTAAGGTTGGGAAATCTATAGCCCCTGGGGAGGATTATCTTGCCTTGCGGTTACTTTTTCTTTGGGAAGTTCCTAGGATCAACGTCCCCAGGGGGTCGGTCTCTGACCTGGCCTCCTGCGGTAAGTGGTCTATTCAATCAAGCTGTTGTAAGCGGCTGTGATTTGTACACATGACATAATAAAAAGCATAAAAATCATTGAGTTTCTTAACATTAATAGCCCAACTTGTTTTTAAAGTAGCCCAAAAAGTCGCAAGTAGCGAAATTAAAAATTTGGGAGCGCGGGGCTCTGAAAAGTAGCCCAATTCGCTACTTGTAGCCCAATCTGGCATACCTGCGGTCAATTCTTCCCGGCCAGCAGGTCAAGAGCCGGGCGCGTGCTTTACCACTGCGCCACAGGGACTTCTCCGTAGCGTAGTGGAATTTTGAATTTTGAAGCCTGACTAACCTAACTCAACCCAACCCAACGTAACCCAAATCAAACCAATGTCATCCAACTGAGTCCAATGCAGCCTAACCTTAATTAGTCGTTACTAATATTGGGGAAGTACAAGATAGTGTGAGTTTGAAGCACAAGGAGGAAGAAACTTGAAGAAACTTTTGAAGAAACTATGAGGATGAAATTAGGTACTTTTTGGTTTTACTTTTGAACTGGGCAGAGGTTGGGCAATTTTTTAATTCATCAGGGAGTGAGTTCCAAAGACTGGGCCCCTTTAATTTGCATGGTGTTTACACAGATTTAGCCTGACTCTGGGGATATCAAATAGATATTTATTTCTGGTGTGGTACTTATGGGTTCTATTACACCTATCAAGGAAAAGTTTCAGATCAAGATTAGCATTTAGGAACAAGGGTTTTGTACATGTAGATAGCACACGAGAATGTGTAGAGTGAGTATATGTTTAGCATGTTGAGGAACTTGAACAGAGGGGCTGTGAGTTAGGTTCTTTTAATTGCCTTATAAAATTTAACGAATAAAAAGGTTTTCGTGCCTTAACATCTTTATATTATGATAATCACGACATATCTGCATTAAAATCAGTGTGCAATTCCGGTTTTGGCCTCCACCGCCTTCTCACTTGTTCCCTTGTAACTTGTAACTCACTTGTAACACTTATATGCTGTGCTTCCTATTTTAACCTGCTATGTTAAATGGGATTCTTGTATTGTGATTTGTGTATTTGTACTCACTGAATTTGTGCGCCCCTTGAGGGACTTGAAGTAGAGGGGGGGGGGGGGGGGTAGAAATAGCCTAAGCTACTCTATCCCTTTGAGATGTATTTTTTTATTGTCTCAATAAACATACTTGAACTTGAAGTGGACTTTAATGTTTTTTCGGCAGCTTTATTTCCTTAGTTTCCGAGCTGTTTTCTTTACCGTGTATGTTGTAATAAACTATTCCTATATTTACAGTTGTTTCTCCCTGTGAAGATTATTAAACAATGGTGATTATAAGGGCGCGGAAGTTCAGCCTGGCCAGGGCCGCCAGCAGCCCTTGGGCCCGCCCCGGCAGCTCCCAGTCTTTAATTTGGCACCTTTGTGGCACCTTTGTGGCACCTTGGTATAAGCCTAACATGTATATATACACTGGCTGCCTGTCCCCCTACACAATGATTTATTATTACCTATTATTTTATCATTTAATTTAAATATTAAATAAAATAATTCATTTAATTATTATAGTAAGTACTTAATAATTTAATAATAAGTAGTAAGTACATAAAAATGATTAAAAAGTACAGTTTAGTCATAGGAGATTCCTAGATTGGAATTCACTACCAAATTTCAATATATCCAAGTATTTTTAGTGTGAAATGCTGTTATTATATGCATAAATTGTTGTTTTAATAATATTACGCTTAACCACTTGGGCTGGACGGTAGAGCGACGGTCTCGTTCCCTCCAGGTCCGCGTTCAATCCCCGACCGCCCATGAGAGAGGTTGGGCACCATTCCTTTCCTCCCGTTCCATCCCAAATCCATATCCCGAGCCCTTCCGAGTACTATATAGTCGTAATGGCTTGGCGCTTTCACTTGATAGTTCCCCCACCCCCCTGAATAATATTACGAGCAGTATTTACGGGCTATTCATGCCCGTGCCACCTCTTGGGTGGCTTAATCTTCATCAATCGAGAGCAGTACGTCCTAACCAGACGTTATATGATGATATCCTCAACAGTTGATAAATAAAAGTAATTGCGGAACTCCAGTTATCTAATACTTATCATAAATGGTATAAAACCTTATCATAAGCCAAGGGATTTGTAGATCAGTGTTTAAAGGGAATTCTGAAGTAATAATGATACAGCTGATGCCATCTGTCGGCAGAAGAGAACACTATCAACTGGCTGGTCAACAGTGGCCATAAGATACAGCTTACGCCATCTGTTGACATCAAATTACACTTATAACAAATTACCCCACAAAATACAACTAACGCCATCTAGTTTTTTTCCAACGCACTATAAATAGCCAAACAGCAACCCATAAGGCGGGTTGTTGTGCTCGGGTAGGAAGTTCCAAGCTCCGCCCACAAGATGGTATGGGGTGCATAATCAATGGCATATCATTGGTAGAAACTCTTTGTTGACATTCACACAACAGCCAATCACAGGAAGGGATCAGCTAAAGGCTCCATCCACTTAATAAATCATCTTTATTCAGCACACCATCCTTGCTTATGACATTCTGCTTCAACTTTAATCTACCTAAAAAGTGAAGTGTTAAGTATTTAAAAATATTAATAAAGTGATAATTAAATACTGCAGGATGTAACGAGTGTTACAGAAACACGGGCTGGCTACCTAGCTTGTGACGTCATCAGCAGGGGTTGCCTCACGCAAATAATATTGGCGAAACAATGCCTCCGCCCTCTTATTGGTCTACATTATTCCGTTAGATGGAAATTTCTGTCTTGTATAAAACAGAAATTGTTGTTCTTTTGTACAACAACACCAAGGTTATTGAGCAAAAGGACGTATTTCTTATTTTGCATTTCATTCATATAATGCGTTGGCATTCCCGGCAACAGCCAATCACAGGAAGGGATCAGCTAAAGGCTCCATCCCTTAATAAATCATTTTAGTTCAGCCCACCAGTCCTGCTTATGGAATTCTGCTTTAACTTTAATCTACCTAAAAAGTGAAATGTTAAGTATTTAAAAGTATAATATAGTGATAATTAAATACTGCAGGATGTAACGGGTGTTACAGAAACATGGGCTGGCTACCTAACTTGTAACGTTATTATTGGGGGTTGCCTTGACACAAATAATGATACACTGCTCTGCCCTCTTATTCGAGTAAATTATTCAGTTAGATGGAGATTTCTGTCAGGTGCAAAACAGAAATTGTTGTTCTTTTTCACAACAACCTTGTTGTTGTGCACAAGGACCTATTTCTTAGTTAAAATTTTATTCATAAAAGAGTGTTGGTATTCCCCGCAACAGCCAATCACAGGAAGGTATTTCTGGAAGCTCGGCCTCCTTATGGACTCAGCACATCGCTCTAGCTCATGGCTCTCTGTTTCATCTCTTGTATATACAAACTATGACTTTTTTCGATTACTGTTATAATTAATAATATGAGATATAAAAGTTTTTACACAAAATGGCTAAATTCTGCCATTAAATGGACTTTGTCTGGTATACATACAAACATACACCAATTTATTACCATTCATCCATTATTAATTTCAAATGTAATGTATACTGTCTAGTTTTTTCCTCTCGCCATTACTTGGTGCAATATTTGAAAGTTGTCTATTTATTTATCGATCTCTATTATCTTGTATTTATATTTACAAGTTTCTGTGCTTGGAAGAAAACTCTGCATTGAATTGGGACTAATTTATTAAATAATATTATTTAGTATTAATTAATATTTACAATTATTATTAATTACAATTATTTATAGCTTAGTTACTTTCATGTAACTCGCAATCGTACATTCTTAACATTAATAGCCCAAATTAACACATCTTGCTTTTAAATTAGCCCAGAAAGTAGCAAGTAGCGAAATTAAAAATTTGGGAGCGCGGGGCTCTCAAAAGTAGCCCAATTCGCTATTTGTAGCCCAATGTGGCAACACTGTGGCGGGAAATAGAGAAAATGGGGCAATGGGCATGAGGGACTCCTGTAGATACGGCACCTCACCACTCGCCTTACAACCTCACATTCCTGACTACAGTCGCTATCTGTATATCCCGTTCGTCATGACGTTTAGATATATTCTTGCTGTTGAGCTACTGTGTGCAGTCTTACCGCTCGGTCTGGCTATCATCAGAGACTTAAGATATCATATTGTGATAATTTAGATACGTGATGTAAACATCCGCACGTATTTATTTCTCCTATTAATTCACCCTACTAATCTATTTAACTCGATGCATGTCGTTTGATATAATGTAGTGATTTTCGTGAATAAGAAAATGAACTGATAAATGTGTTTATTTTGTAGGGAAGAGAGAAGAGTCGCTGGCTGCGTTACGTCAGCTGCGACGCACAGCCCAGATTGCTGAAGAAGAGCAGCGGGACATCAGCAACAAATGCAGCAGTGGTGAAAACAACGCCCATGTCAGTATGTGGGAGCTAATACAGCCGCCCAACTTGTGGCCTGTGGGCGTGGCTGCCGCCCTCATGGTAGCACAACAGACTACCGGTTACATGGCGGTGGTCTCCTTCACCTCTAATATCCTCAACGCCGGCGGGGAAGGCGCCAGCAACAGCAGCTCTTCGTCGGTGTTTTTGGGGGTCTTCAACTTCCTGGCCACCTTCGCGGGCATATACGTCATGGCGAGGTGCGAGAGGCGGTACCTTCTCCGTGTGTCGACTGTCATACTTATGGCGTCCCTCCTTGCCTTGTCTCTCTACTTCTGGGCCCTCAACGCAGGAGGTTCCGTAGCCGCCATTGCCAATAGCATGAATCTGGTGCCGGTGATGGCTCTGACGGCCTACCATCTAGGCTCCTCAATAGGCTGGCGGATTTTGCCTTGGGTCTTCGTATCAGAGGGAATGCCCAGCCGAGTGAGAGGGAAAGCCGTGGCTGTGGTGGTAGCCATCAACTGGGCCTCTGCTTTCTTGATCACCAAGACATTTGGGTGGTGCATGGCGGCACTGGGCGGCCACACCACCTTCCTGGCCTACGCCGTCATGACGGGCGTGAGCACTTTGTTCATCCACCCCATCATGCCAGAGACCTTCCGTCAGTCCATCACCAAGATGGATCAACTTTATCAAGAGGCAGTAAAGCGAAAACAACAATAGGTTTCTGGACTCGTCGTTTCGTAATCTCACAAAACTCACTGATCACTAAATGAAGAAACGACGACGTTTCGGTCCGTCCTGGACTCCTTTTAGGGTCCCGGTAGTAGTACAGTCGGGTTCGTGCTCGACGCATAATCGAGAATTCCGGGTTCGATTCCCGGTCGGGACAGAAATGGTTATGTTTATATTAAAGGGACATATAATAATGCTCTCACATTATATCTCGTACAGTTGACTAGAACGTGTCTGCATGGGAACATCCATCGCCCAGGTTCGAACCCTCATCACGGCCCTTGTGGATTTGTTCATTTAATATACCACGTTATTGCGATTTGTGTGTGTATTCTATCCACGTTATTGTGACTCATTGACTGTAGTTACTCACTGTTGGTGCCAGCATATAGTTAGAGGGAGGGTTGTCCACTTCCCAGTTGTTGTTTTAGATGCAGCTACTCGCTGAAGGTAACACAACTGAACTGTAATGTCAATCCTGACCTTAATAGCTTCCTAGAAGGTTTTAACAGATCCCATGAGCACCACAAAGGAAACAAATACCTATTTAATATTCCAGAGTACGACTTAGTCAAACTAGAAATGCTTTACAAATCAAGGGACCTCGAATGTGGAATGTGGAATTTGTGTTTAAACTCGGAACAAGAAGTTGCAAGTAGCACGGGCTATGGTGAGCCCGTAGTGGACTTGCCTGGCACAGGAGCGGTGCTGTAACTGTAACTAGTGGAGCTGTAACTTCCCTATCACTTCCCAGATATAGGGAAAATTATATGTGAATGGGGGGAGGGGACCACTATAATGTTGGCAAGTTTTTTATTTCTTATCTGCTAATTGCTTTGGGTCACCCTGTTGTTTTAGACATGAATTATACAATAAAATTTTTAACATGGTTTTGTACGTAATATTTATCCTTTATTACAAAATTTATAATTTCAACTATATATAATATACAAAATAAACAATCGTTTGCAACACGACAGTCTTCTTAAGAGACGCCATGACGTCGCTTCTCGCCTCTGGATTGGCCAAACACGGGGAAGCAAGTTACAATCTTGATGAGCTAGTTACAAAATTCAATATAAGTCGTCACATCAACAATGGGTTCGAGATCGACCTCAAGTACAGGTTCTAAATTAAGCAACTGACATATGTGGAGAGCTAGTGTCACAATTGACATGTTTGTCCTGCACACCGCCCCCCATCCAGTGGGCAGCGGTGGATAGGTTACAATCACTCAGTTACTACCTACAGTTAGCAAACTGGGGATATTTGGCTAAAATTTCTGGTAGCAGATCATTTTGCGAGGATTGCAAAGCTATACAATATAAATTATAAATTATAAACTCAAATAACAAAATGATGTGACGAATTATATTGAATTTTGTAACTAGCTCATCAAGAATGTAACTTGCTTAGCTAAATGAATTGTGGGGTTTAGTCCCTGAGTCCATTATGTGCCTCTGTAACGCTTTCCACTACCGCCCACAAGATGGGTTTGGGGTGCATAATAAATGAACTAAACTAAAAAATAACAAAATATATAGTATAATCTCAGTGGTGCCGAACATCATTCACTGAGCAAAACATATAATTATTAGCTTAAATCTAATGTAATTATATTTTTTTATAATTTAGAATTAAACATTTTTCGCGGGATATTTTAAGATTGGCGGGTGATGGTTGAGGCGACGGCCGCCAGGTGTCAGGACGGTTTGTTGTGGGTGTAGAGCGCGCTGATTGGCTGCCGACGAAGGGTTCAAAGCGGGTCGTTGGTGCTGTGGGGAGATTTAAACTCGTGAATGTTTATTTACCTTCCACTCTGCCCATTACACCCTTGTTAGCGAGCCAAGCTGGCGGAGAAACATGGAAGATGATAATGAGTGCCTGAAAGACGTGATTCTGGAGGAGCTGACGCGGCTGGGGGTGCAGGAGAGCGAGAGAAAGGGCCACCAGAGTGCCAAGCTTCTGGGCATCTCTAACTCAGCTTCCAAGTCCAGCAAGAGTAAGGGCAAGGGTAAGCGTAGCCCCAAGATCTCTGGCTCTCGGAGCCCTCTCAAGCAGCCTGCAAAGGGCCGGGATGACCGCAAACATACCCCAAAGTCACCATTCTCCAGTGCCAAGCGCAAGGCTGAAATCCGAAGACAACAGAATAAAGAAAATAAGAGGAAGGTTGGTCTCAAAATTACATTTAAAGTGGTTGTGAACTACTTCATGTCGTCAGCTATATTAGCAGCTAATATTTAGTGTCAGTAGGTTCGTCATCTCGCAACATAGTCCCCGTGGTGCAGTGGTAAGACACTCGCTTGATGCTTTGTGAGTACTTTGGCCTGGATTTGTATCCTGGCCGGGGAGGATTGACTGGGCGTCAATTCTTAACCGACTGTTCACCCAGCACTGAATGGGTACCTGGTTGTTAAACGATTTGGAGGGTCGTATTCCAGGGAAAATTAGTATTAAGGACCTCTCCGAAGCCCTAATGCATATTAGTGGCTTTGCAAGAATATAAGAACCCCAATGTTATGTACTCTCAACCCAATGTATCTTGTATATAAATAAATATATAAATATATATAGTTTTATAAAAGTTGCTTTTTTCATCTCTTCTCGAGCTCTGAACCTGTAGAGACTGATCGACGGAGCTACTAACTCACTCTGAACAATGTTTATTTCACGTAGATACGGTAATAAATGTAAATGTTTTATATGCCTCAAGGAAGACAGAAATATAAACTTCATTTAAGTCCTTTAAAGCTCATGGACATATTTAAAGCTCATGTGAAGATACATGTGTTATAATTGCTTTCTGTGGCTTGTTGATCATGGCATACTGAAGCCTATGCATTGTCATATACAGTATACTGTATTGTGTCATCAACAGAGATATGCTAATAATGCCAAAAATATTGCTGTATGTGCCGTCAGAAAACAATGTAATCGTTATTGTAAGTGCTTACTGGCAATATATGTTATGGGAGAACAATGATATATCAGATTTAAAGAAAGTTTCCATAGGAACGCTCGCCCCATCTATTGGAGATGCAGGTTCTTGATGATCAATGTTTATTTTTACCATATACAAAAATAAAAATGTTTCATATGCCACCAGATAGACAGAACTATAAGTTACATAATAATTCATTAAAATGAAAATATCTAAAGTTAAAACGAAGAGTCATGGGTATATGTATATTTCTAAATGCTTCCTGTGTGTCTTCCACAATGGAGTTGGACGGTAGAGCAACGGTCTTGTATCATGTAGGTCGCCGTTCAATCCCCGACCGTCCAAGTGGTTGGGCACCATTCCTTCCCCCCGTCCCATCCCAAATCCTTATCCTGACCCCTTCCAAGTGCTATATAATCGTAATGGCTTGGCACTTCTCCTGATATTTCCGTTCCGTTCCCCAATGGAGTACCGAATCCTATACACACGTCGATATATTGTGTAATTAGCTGAGATTCTTTAATGAAGCTTATATTTATGTTGATCAGAAAGACAGAGCTCTATTTTTTATTGTAAATCTATCATAGGTTTATATCTTATTGGTGAGCAAAGATTTACATGTTTTAGAAGAAGGTTCCTTGAGTGACGCTCTTGCGATCTAGTGGAGTTGCGACCTCTTAAAGATCAATGTTAATTTTAACTAGATACAGTAATAAACATTGTTTTTTTATGTGCACCAAAAATACAGTAAATATATCCTACATTTTAAATCCTTTACCATAAAAAGTGAAGTGAAAGTGAAGATATAAAGTATAACCTCAATTCAATAAAATATATGGGGACCAACGCCAATTTGTTGCAGTGAGGAATTTGTTGCAACTGAAGATGCCGCTGGGATGCATTTCTCTTGATCTATGGACTAATTTTACTTAGCAAAATTTTAATCTCAACCTATTATAGGCAACTACCAAATGAGCATGTCTGAACAAAAATGTAACCACATCTGCCTTATTTCTCACATCCCCTAGCCTTAAAATGCATTTTTAAAAGGTATCAGGGCCATACTTAGTTTATATGCTCATTAAACCATGAACAAACAATCTCTTATGTGTTCTTGGTTTTATAAGAGCACACAAGATTAGGGGGCCTCGTTAGGGGCCTCGTAGCCTGGTGGATAGCTCGCAGGATTCGTAATTCTGTGGCGCGGGTTCGATTCCCGCACGAGGCAGAAACAAATGGGCAAAGTTTCTTTCACCCTGAATGCCCCTGTTACCTAGCAGTAAAATTGACAGTTGAGAGGCGGGCCGAAAGAGCAAAGCTCAACCCCCGTAAAAACACAACTAGTAAACACAAGAGTTTGTGCTCTTTTTCTTGAATGGGCCTTCTGTAGTTCCCTGTATTATTATATTTAGAGGATTGGTTTACTTGGTAGATGTCATTACAATCATGCAGAGTTGTGAAAACCATATGAACAACATTGTTATGCATGCCACGTAATTATGACGGAATTTTGTACTATGATGGTGACTGCATTTACCTAGTAACATAACCATGAAATGGGTGAAGATAAACATTATTACATCCACTTAGGGTTATTATATCCTTATTTGCATCATAAGTGTAAAACCATAAGTGTAAATCATCATATGATAACTGCTATTTAAAGGTTAATAGTCATTCTCTGTAGCAGGTGTTTGGTCGTGAACTTGAACATGTTCCGTCAGTGTGTGTATACCTGTCAGATGGAATCCAGGTTACCGTACCAGAGTTCTTGGTGGATGTGTGTAACCTCGTTCGACGAAATATTACCACTGAAGGAATCTTCCGTAAAGCTGGATCATCTCAGAGGCAGAGCAATGTAAAGGTATTAAAATACTTATTTCATGTAATTATTATACTCTTCAGGAATTATTTATATGAAATCCGGAGCAAAATAAATGTGCTGTGGAAGTAATTATACCATACACACAGAAATCACAATAGCGTGATATATCAAATGAACAAATCCACAAGGGCCATGATAAGGGGTTCAAACCTACACATTGCATAGGTTCATACTTGTGCATAGGTTCGAACCCTCATCACAGCCCTTCTGGATTTGCAATTATATCAGTCTGGTAGTTTGGTTGCTCCCTAAGGTAAGGGAGCAACCAAACTCCACTGGATATGATCATTGACAGTGAGAGCAGGTAGACATTGTGCAACAACAGCAGGGATCTTCTCAAACCATCGCTACTACTAACTCATACTGATGCTATGAAGATGCTGAAGAAATACTATTTTTGCAACTGGATCTGTCTCTAGATGGTTCATTTATAATCCGAAGGCTCCTCAAGCTGTTCCCAAGTACTGCAGGAATGGGCAGTAAAATGACTGCCCACTCCATAAGTGATAGGTAATTTTAGGTATAAGAATGGAAAAAACTATTTGTGTGTAAACATATAGTATCAGGATAGACATCGGAAACAACTGTAAATTGAATAACATCATCAGTATTTGAGAACCGTGACAAGAGTATTGTCACTGAATGACTTTAAGGTACATTATTTCATAAGGCTAGTTTGAGATTGTACTCCTAAAGTATTTGATATGAATGCTATGTTATTCTTGCAGAAATTTTTGAATGGGGTGAGAATAGCTTGAGCTACCTCATCCCTTTGTGTGTATTTTACCTCAATAAACTTATTTCAATTTCTTGCAGAAACTAATAGACAGTGGGAGCAGCCTTTCGAACAGTGTTCATGTGATAGATGCGGCGTGCCTGTTGAAGCAGTTCTTGCGGTCTCTACCTGACCCGCTTTTATCATCTGACGTCCACTCCAAGATTGTCAAGTTAGTTGTGCACAAACACTGAATGTTGTATGATGTGTGTGTGTCTTGTCTCCTTTGCTGTCTCGTCATATTTCCTGTATGTGAGTTGGAAAACTAGGAAAATAGGCATGGATGACTTGTTACCCTGCTTTTCAAGTATGGTGTAGGCTGTATTGCTTCTTTTAAGTGTGCTGTATTTATTTTCAAGTACTGTATGTTGTATTATGTACTGTATTGTAAAATAACTTTTATTTTTGTATTTTTGCATTATCTAATACATAATAGTATAGAAATAAATGATAGTATAAAAATTAATGATAGATTAAACAAAATATATAATTTGATAATGTATGATTAATACTGTGGTCAAAACATTAAATCTAGTTATCTAGGAGCCTCAGGTATTGCTAGTTACAAGGCTCTGCCCTCAAAAGAGTGAACAGTATTAACAAAGGCTACAAGTGGTAGTGGCTTTGACTAGTTTTCTAAGCAGGTATTTGTATAATCATTTGTAACATCAGTCTACCTTGAGGTGGTTTCGGGGCTTAGCGTCCCTGCGGCCCAGTCGCCGACCAGGCCGCCGCCTCTAAAGATAATACTTGAAATAAGAAAATAGAATACAGTTTTATATATGTCCTTATACAATACATTATCTTATGACAAATACTCGTTTCTAATTTAGTTTTCAGGATTTCTGTATTCTTTCTATTTCCTTTGCAGATGTATGGATCTGGTACAGGAAGCAAGAATTGCGGCTATTGTATTATGTACATTGCTACTGCCCCGAGCACATAGATATACACTAGTGTACCTGATGGATGTAAGTTTATACTATGTTCTTGGAGAAAAATTTTGTAACATTACAATTTTTTTTATACGCATTCTTGACAAGTTGGAGGCAATGTCGTTAGCTAAGGAGATGTGGGTTATTGTATGGAGTTTGGATAGGGAGATGTGAAATATTGTATGGTGTTTGGATAAGGCATTTGTTTGGCCAGAACCCTAGAGGACTATATGCGCATAGCGTGGAAATTGCTGCAAATATTGCATAATCCACTTAATAAAGCAGCATGGAATAGTAGCAGCGTGGTACTGTAGAACAATAGCAGCTATATTTAATGTATGGTGTCTGTTTTGACAGGGAGATGTGAAATATTGTATGGTGTCTTGATATGGAGATGTGCATTATTGTATGGTGGACTAGGATGATTAATATAATGGGGACTGCAGGTGGACTAGGATGATGAATATAATGGGAACACTGCAGGTGGACTAGGAGGATCAGTATAATAAGGACACTGCAAGTGGACTAGGATGAGTGAGTGTGGTGCGGGGAATAAATGGACGAGCAGTGAATGTGAGTGAATGTGTTTGCATATGTATGTGCACGTGTGTATGTGTATAAAAGAAGTATTCAATCTGTAATATTAATACTATGAATAATTTTAGTTTTTTTCAGATGTGGTAGCAGCAAGTGGAAGCAACCTGATGGATGCTCGAAACTTGGCAATAGTGCTGGCACCTAATCTCTTGCCAACAACATTCACTCCTCCGGCCTCTAGCTGGAAATCATCTGGCCATTCATTGCCATCTGAGGATGTAATGTTGGCTACCAACATTGAGATTTTGCAGGTATGAATAGTCATGAATGTTCGGCTGGGACCAGATTCACGAAGCAGTTACACAAGCACTTACAAACCTGTACATCTTTTCTCTATCTTTGACGGCTTTGTTTACAATTATTAAACAGTTAATGAGCTCCGAAGCACCAGGAGGCTGTTTATAACAATAACAACAGTTGATTAACAAGTTTTCATTCCTGTAAACTGTTTAATAAATGTAACCAAAGCTATGAAAGATTGAGGAAAGATGTACAAGTTCGTAAGTACTTGTGTAACTGCTTCGTGAATCTGGCCCCCTGCTTCTTTAGCATTAATATGATGCATAAGGTTCATTACTGTGTTGGAGATCTATTGCTTAGAGAGACTGAAAGTTTTCCTGTTGCTCTAGAGACTTTGGATGATGGCCTCATATGTCTGGCTGTTAGTGCAAGTAACTTGAATTGTAAAGTGGACACTTCATCTTGATTTATCCGACTTATGTAAGAAATCTCTTAAATTCCTCCTTTAATACAAATATTGGTTTGTTGGTAAGTCCCTGGTAGGTTATCTTATGGTTTAGTCATGTTTATATCTGAACTAAGCCACTCAGTTGCTCACTTGGTCAATATCCTGCTCTTGCCAAGGACAGCACCAATAGTAGTAAATACAAAAAAAGCACGAAGCCATTACAACTATATAGCACTTGGAAGGGGTCAGGATAAGGATTTGGGATGGGACAGGGAGAAGGAATGATGTCCAACCACTTGGGTGGTCGGGGATTGAACGCCGACTTGCATGAAGCGAGACCGTCGCTCTACCATCCAACCCAAGTGGTTGGGCGAGGACAGCACCCAACAACAGCCAGGTACCATGAGAATCTTTGCAAATGCCCCAGCCAAGCCTGGGGCTTGGTGTAGTGAGACACTACAGTGAGACACTTGAGATGGCTTTATCCTACCTGAAATGACGTATGGAAGGTTTGACCTCGGGATAGGTGTGGAAAGGGTCAAACACAATTTAAAGCACAATTATGCTTTAAATTGGGATTACAGTAGTTTAAATAGAAATTTAAAGAATTACAATATACAGTATGGAATTTGTTTAGTAATTAAACCCTTTTCTGCCCACAGTTGTTGATTGAGAGTGCTTCATTGGTGGGTCGCATGCCTAGCAATGTTGCTCTGGCTATTGAACACCGAGAAAAAAGTCAGTCAACTGAAAATCTTTTGGCGCCCCAATCACATTCTGCATCCAGAAAGAAACGTCGAAGTGCTTCAATACATAGTCAGTAATCAAAGAGCAGAGACTTGTGTAGTTTTGTTTTATATATTTATGTTAAATGCAGGACAAAGATAATTGAAATTTGTATCACATAGCTTCTTCACCTCTTTAGGCTGGCCAGATTATGGTCCTAGCACCGTGGTAGGCACTCATGAGTCTAACAGTCTTGGATGCTTCCAGGATGTAGACTTGGGGAGCTACCCTGTTGGGGCCTTCCTGGAAAAAGTACAGACAAGATGACCAAATCACACTCCAGAAGATGAAAAGTTGACATTTCAGTCCGTCCTGGACCATTATCAGGTCGATTGTGGTCTGAGTCAAGTCAGGACAATTGATTTGATGATGGTCCTGGACAGACCGAAACATCGTCGTCTCTTCATCTTCTGGTGTGTGGTTTGGTCATCATATCTTCAGCCATGTTATTATGACTAATCTTTTACATACGGACAGGATGCTAAATGGCTTCTTGACCTAAAACATAAGAGCTATATATATATATGTATGTGTGTGTGTGTGTGTGTGTGTGTGTGTGTGTGTGTGTGTGTGTGTGTGTGTGTGTGTGTGTGTGTGTGTGTGTGTGTGTGTGTGTGTGTGTGTGTGTGTGTGTGGTGTGTGTGTGTGTGTGTGTGTGTGTGTGTGTGTGTGTGGTGTGTGTGTGGTGTGTGTGTGTGTGTGTGGGTGTGTGTGTGTGTGTGTGTGTGTGTGTGTGTGTGGTGTGTGTGTGTGTGTGTGTGTGGGTGTGTGTGTGTGTGGTGTGTGTGTGTGTGTGTGTGTGTGTGTGTGTGTGTGTGTGTGTGTGTGTGTGTGTGTGTGTGTGTGTGTGTGTGTGTGTGTGTGTGTGTGTGTGTGTGTGTGTGTGTGTGTGTGTGTGTGTGTGTGTGTGTGTGTGTGTGTGTGTGTGTGTGTGTGTGTGTGTGTGTGTGGTGTGTGTGTGTGTGTGTGTGTGTGTGTGTGTGTGTGTGTGTGTGTGTGTGTGTGTTGTGTGTGTGTGTGTGTGTGGTGTGTGTGTGTGTGTGTGTGTGTGTGTGTGTGTGTGTGTGTGTGTGTGTGTGTGTGTGTGTGTGTGTGTGTGTGTGTGTGTGTGTGTGTGTGTGTGGTGTGTGTGTGTGTGTGTGTGTGTGTGTGGTGTGTGTGTGTGTATGTGTGTGTGTGTGTGTATGTATGTATGTATGTATGTGTGTATGTATGTACATACTGTAATCACATTTATATCTTCATTTCCATAAATACAGGGCTGATGACAGGATTACGGCGTGTAGTTGGGCATACAAGGCCAGACTCTACCTCCCCTCTCCATACTGCTGGGAGTATTGAGAGACTTGATACCTTACACTTACATCCAGGTGTAGCGCTCTCCCCAATGCCAGGAAGTGAACCATCTCCACGAAAACGCAAATCGGCCGATGCGTTTGCTCTCTCCCTTGAATCAGTGAGGTGAGTTGGCTTTTTTTTCTTTTTTTTTTGCTTATTAACTTTTTGGTGATGGTTAAGTAATACAATTTGTGCTTTGTTAAAGCTGGTGATTTTTATGAACATGAACATTTTGAGATTTCCTTGAATGGTTCATGTATAATGCTTTGAAATTGTATAGTAATAAAGCAAAGAAATGGAGAACAAGGTAATATAGAGAGCAGGACCTGATATTATGTTCTTCATTTGTAAGCTTTATCATTATATACTGATGTTACTATAAGTTTGTAATATCACTCTAAATAGTTATATGAAGAGTGGCATGTCCTATGCATGTGGAGCAAGTGTAGCCGTGCAGACCATGAGTCACAATAACATGGCTGAAGATTTGATGACCAAACCACACATCAGGAAGTGAAGAAACGATGGCGTTTCAGTCTGTTCTGGTTGGTTATCGAGCCTGATAATGGTCCAGGGCAGACTGAAACAACGTCGTTGCTTTACTTTTGGATGTGTGGTTTGGTCATTAAGTGTAGCAGTTTGGTGAGTAGCATGTTGTGTTACAGGGACCAAGCTGTTGAAACCAACCCTCTGTTTACACCTCCAACTAGCAAGAGAGCCAAAGTTGACATTCAAGTGGGCACTGTTGCTACCTCTGCTACTACTGCTGTGGATGCTGCACCTTCTGTTTCTGCTAGCCTTCCTCTTCCTGTTTGCTCAACTCCTTCACTCAATGTGAGTATGCATTGTGTGTTATTGTGGCTGCGTGTTTAACCCTACAATAGTACCCTTGGGGGTTCAAACTTCGTTACTACCCTGGGGTGATACCTTACCCCAGCATAAAAATTTTAAATCACTTTGTAATTGCTTGTGCAATTTAACACTGATTTATATTGATATTCTACAATCTTGTGATTCTCTGCATTCATTTTGTGAAGGTGAAGGAAAGACCGAATGTTTATGTGTAACTGTATTAAAAAAATTTCAAATGTATCCTACAGCCTTTCTCTAGGTACTGTGTACAACGTTCTAGATCAGTTGTATACAGTAAACCAATTATTTGGTTTTTAATACACTTATATATTGGGTCTTCACCTTCATTCAATCATTACAATATTGTAGTAAGTTTGTCCATTCATTTTGTCATGGGTGAATTGAATCTGAATCAGTACAGTAATTTTATAGTTTGTCTCTTTGGTACAGTAATACAGTTTTTGACAGTTATTCATTAATATGAAGAAAATAGACTGTAATGGTTATTCTGCAGGTACATCATAACATACAAAATAATTTAATAGTTACCTTTAATGTTACTTCAATGATTCTTGTAGGGATGACTGTACACGCAAAGAGGAAGACAATGTTGACCAAACCACACGAAGAGACGACGGCATTTTGGTCCATCCTGGACCATTATCAAGTCGATTGTCGAACAATCGAGTTGAATAAATGGCTTGTCGTCTCATCCATTTTTAGTGTGTGGTTTGGTCAACATTTCTTTAGCCTCGTTAATGTGACACATCATTATCTGCATGAGGAAGACAATGATTTTGTATCTCAGATAAGCTGAGTTAGTATTTGCAGGAACTTTGGTGCTTACTCCATTCTGTGTCGTATTAGAAAGATCAGGAATATTATGGTTGTCAACTTTGAAACTGAACATTGAAATCTTATTTTGGGGTGGTTAAATTCCCCTGGGTACTAATGTAGGGTTAATATTATCTCAGTCACAGGTAATGTTTGTCAAACTTAAATTATTTGACTAAATACTTACATGACATTACTTTGACCAATGTATTCATATAAATTAATTAATTTGTTCTAAGTTTATTAGTATCTTTACTATTTTCAAAATAATGAGTAGTAATACTCCTGTGCTTTGGGTTTTCTTGTTGAAAATAATCTTTAGTCCCAATCTTTACTAGAATCTTATTGTTGGATCCTCTGTACAAATCTTGATTAACCTTATTAATCTGTTTATTTAGTGTACAGTGGACCTCCAAATCTGGACCCGGATTCATAAGGCAGTTACGCAAGTACTTACGAACGTGTACATCTTTCCTCAATCTTTGACGGCTTTGGTTACATTTATTAAACAGTTTACAAGCATAAAAACTTGCCAATTAACTGTTGTTATTGTTATAAACAGCCTCCTGGTGCTTCGGAGCTCATTAACTGTTTAATAATTGTAAACAAAGCCGCCAAAGATTGAGAAAAGATGTACAGGTTTGTAAGTGCTTGCATAACTGCTTCGTGAATCTTGCCCCTGGATCATATCATTCCTGACCTGATGTGTATTTGAGTAAAATCTGATTTTCTGGAGCATTGCATTTTCTTGGCTATCTATTGTCAATCATATAAAACTGAATAAAAAAATAAAACCATTGAATTTTGTTTAAAATGTGCTCAATAACTTTTCCCTGTACCAACAGTTTACCGTAATTTTGCATTAATCTGTGAAAAATGATATATTTGAGCTACTGTGTGATTCGTATCCTAATTTTTAACGTGCACTATGGATAAATTTCACCGAGCGAAATTTGACTTTCGTCTTATCATGTGATGGACAGTTACTAAGAAAACCAACCTGACTATAAAGGTATTTTACCCCCATTCAAATTATTTATCAGGATCCATCCCTTAGAGCTTATTTTTCAAAGTAGGACCTGACCTAAACTCTGACTTCCATTGAACAAAAAATGCACAAGTTTATAAAATATTTGAAAAATATCTAATTATATACTCCATATAATAATCAGAATTTGATAGCAGGGCCCTGTCAGGAATCCTGATTTAATCCCAACAAATTCTAAATTTGGAGGGGAAGATCCAGTGGCCAAATCTGATCCATTGCTTAAATTTAGCCATTAAGAGCCTAAGAGTAAAGGCAACTGCAGGAGAACTATTGGCCCACACTAGGCACTGCCTACTTATGTTGACCAGACCGCACACTAGAAGGTGAAGGAAAGAAGACGACGAAGTTTTGGTCCGTCCTGGACCATTCTCAAGTCGATTGTCCAGGACGGACCGAAACGTCGTCGTCCCTTCACCTTCTAGTGTGTGGTCTGGTCAACATTCTTCAGCCACGTTATTGTGACTCATCGCCTGCAGTGCCTACTTAGATACCAATAAACTCATTCATATATATGTCTAACCTTCATTTGAAACAGTTGGTCCTATGTCTATTATCTTACCCAGTAATTGGTTCCATATTCCTGTTTCAAAGTTTGTATTTAATCAGGTATTTCCTAACTCTGAACTTACCCAATTTAAGAACATGAGAATAAAGGAAGTTGCAGCAGGCCTATTGGCCAATATGAGACAGTTCCCATTTATATCCACATATACATTCATATCCCTTGGTCAATTCATTTTTTATATTTTTTATATACAGGTACTGTATATATATATAATTTTTTTTTTAAGTTTTACTATTTCAGCTAATAAAACAGTGATAAATTTCAGTGTTCACTTATCATTAGCACATCAACTTGTATATTTGAACACATCCATACCTGTTTAGAAGTTGTGAAATTGATGTGTAAAGTTCATGTTAAAATAAAACCGATACAAATCATTAGTACATTACAAATTAAATTTTCTGCTGTATAATCTAACAAAAGACGTGTTGGAAATCTAATCAGTTGCTGGCAATTTTATTTTTGTTTGTTTACTTTTTCAGAAGAAGCAGAACCTTAAGATGGGTCAGCCCTGTGCCATTCGAGAGATCACGGGCTCACAGAACGTACTCTCCCAACAGTCTGGCCAATACTCCCTCGTGGGCAACTCCAGTCAGTCTCTCAAGAGGTCCACTTCCGTTAAAATCGGAACGTTCCCCAAATCCCCGAGTACTAACCTACACACAATCCACCCTGGTTTAGAGAGGAAGAGCTTTGGTCAAGTTGATCCTCTACGAATTGGAACAATGGGACACAAAAAGAATGCCCTGTCACAGGTTGTTCGAATGATGTCACCAGTTACGAGGCCAGTAATAAAACGAAGAAGCTGCGATATTCCACTGAGGAGCAGTGCCAAGAGAGCTAACTGTTCTGAAGAACCCATTCGAGTTACACGTAGGAACAGCAGCAATGGATGGAGAATTAATTTTAATGAACCAGATGGTGCAGATGGGGCTACCTTGGGATCACGTGGGGTACCCGATGGAGCCGAGTGCACTCTTCGTGGCCAGTTAGTTCCAAACCCTGTGGTCAGTAATTCCATAGAATCACTAGAGCAGCAGTATGATGATATAAAGTCTGTTCTGAAAACTATGGAAGATGAATTTGATAAGAGTAATGTTCAACAGATGAAAGAAGTATTTTTTCCAAATAGTTCCTCAACATCTGCACAAAATATGAGTTACTCTGAAATGATTCAGAGTGCTTATGAGCGTATGAAAGTAGAAACAAAGGAGCTTGGCATCAGTCCTTCAGACAGCTTGTCAAAAAGGTTGGGAAAGGAGCTCAAGATTCGCAAGAGAAAAAGTGAGGAACACCGAGTGATAAGATCACCAAGCGAGCGAAAAATTGGCACCATCAGACGCCGATCAAGAGAGTTAGTGCAGAATGCTGCTAAAAGTAGTGTTAATTTGGACGATACACCTGCAAGTAAATTACTTCAAACACCAAAGATGAAAGGTTCATTACTGCAAACTCCGATAAATGCCTCCTTACGAAGAGGTAGACCAAATTCTGTGAAGTCAGGACTTCCATATGTGGTGCGCTCCTCTGCAAATGTTATTTCCAACTCCCCAATAACTTTTGAAGAAACACCCAAAAGTCGCAAGGTGATAGTTAACAAGAGGAATGATGGCTCTAGTAATATAAGAAAAATTTATAATGATGGTACTGGTGAGCAACCGTCACTAAACGTGAACGTGTCTGATACGAGTGGTAATGGAAGCTTAATTGGCAGTTTCCTTGATAACCTTCCTGGGCCAATGACACGTAGGAGGTCGAGTCTTTTATCGCTGGTTACTGCTGTTCCGGTGTTAAAGTTTTCTTCAACAGAAACATCATTAAATGATGACTATCAAATGGGTAATGGTAATAGTTCTTTAAATATGTATAATACCTCAGATATAAATATGGAAATTGACGAACAGGTACACACTGAAGAAAACTTAGAAACCCAAAAAAGTCAATCGGCAATGTCGGTCCTTGCTGGAGAAGAGCAGTGGATGACTGCTACTGAATTTGTCAACTGTGTAGGGGATCAAGAGAGCTTAAGAGAAGAGGAGAGTATTGGAAGACCTTCACTTGCAGCACTGATAAAACAGAAAAAAGTAACTGCCAATGTACAGCTCTTCAACAACTTAAATATAGGGAGTCCTCACCAGCGACGTCAGTCACGACGGCTTCGCAGCACTCCTCTTCAGCTTCCTCCTGAACATTCGTCGTCTTCGGAGCACATTGTAACTAGGTTAAATTACTCAAAAAGTATGTCTCACCGCTCCACCATGACGCCACGGGAACTGTTGAAGGCTAGGCAGAAATCATTCCAATTTGATAGAGCTCCTCATAATCTTGCCAGAATTGCTGTAGTGTCACCACTAAAAGAAAGTACTTGGATCAATATTCAGCAAGAACATTCTCATGAAACCCCAAAGGCTTACAGAGGAGAAGCCACATTTCCTAATACGCTATTGAGAAAAGAGGATTCGAGATTTAAAGCTCCAGAGAGTCCCATTACTTTTGTTACTCATAATAAAAATGCCCTTGGGACCTCTCAATTGGCTGTAACGGAAACTTCAGTCAATCCACCAAAGCTTCCTCCTCGTTCCTCTGTAAAGCCTTCACCCATTAGGGTTCAATATAGATAATACCAATATTTTTGTTAATTGGTGATCTTCCATTTGTTGCATTTCCAGAATTTATTTAAAGTGTCAACATTACTTTAGAAAATTCTTGAGGGTTGTGTATTACAAACTTTACTTTCTTTTTATTCATATATTTCTGTACTCTTTGAAACATCAATACAGCTAATTGCAAATCTAAGTACATTGTATTTTATTTCACAAGCATATTCCATTGACATCTTTGATTATTTGGAAAAACATCTGTACTGTAACTATCATAATCTGTCCCAGGGATCACATCACTTTCCTATTTTTGTACTAATTTCCCTTTCTGCATGATCCCAAGTTTGCACAATACCAATCCTGAATATTTTAATTTCTTGACTGCTTCAAATACTTGAACAAATTATTTTGATATTGCTCTGCATGGTTGCACATATATTCTGCAGTGAAGGTAAAAGAATTCCCACACTTGGCATTCTAATATCTACTCCCTGTGCCCTTAATATCTTGTATCGTAAATATTTTTAGCTTGAACAAGCCTTAACAATTCCTAGTGTCTCCAAGCTTGGTGCCTTCAGTTGATATTTACTTGTGCTCTCATTACTGAATCACCAAAAAGGTCAGGATCAGCAGGGACTGTGCCTCTCCATCTTGCTCCAGAAATTTTCCTGTCCTTCCCACTCTTGCTTCCATTCCTGAGATATCTGATAGCTTTGCCCATATACAACTTAAAAAGACTTGATTGAATGATAATATTCCTTTCCCAACTTTTATTTCAAAGGTTGGTCTTCCATTACTTTGATAATTACTTAGTCTTCCATTACATTTGATGCATATTTCAGCTCTTAAAACATTTTATTACAGCTAATAACTATCCTTTTACTTGAGACATAAACCCTCTCATAATGCATTTGAGTTCATTCTTTCATGTACTTTGTCCTAGATCCATTAATGCTACAGTTTTTCTTTGAAACATATTGTTTTCACTAGTCTTAACAAAACAATATCCTATATATATGCATCCTTAACTATTCCTAAAGGCTTGCTAATTATTTATTCCACAATCTGTTAATTTCCTCACCACTATTACTACTTATCCACACATTTTTCCCTGATAATTCAGCACTGTGTTTGGTATGTTAATCTATAATTTATGTATAAGTTTTACCATTGTTCAGCCATTTTCTATTTTCCAAGCATACTCTCAAATGTCGGCCAATCTCTATATAATCATAACACCCCTGCATTTTATCGTGCTACTCATGGGGTTCTCACCAATGATTTGTCCAGTAACTGAACTGTGGTTTATGACATTGATCACTTTACTAGATGTGCGAAAAACACTGAATTGTTTTACATGTTTATATTTTGGCTTGGTTCAGCTTCTGGTGTTAGCTAGGATCCATGTTTACACACACACACACACACACACACTCACTCACTCACTTATGCACACACACACACACACACCAGTGTGATGTTGCACCAGTGATGTTTATTGTGTACATAAATGATCTACCAGTTGGTATACAGAATTATATGAACATGTTTGCTGATGATGCTAAGATAATAGGAAGGATAAGAAATTTAGATGACTGTCATGCCCTTCAAAAAGACCTGGACAAAATAAGTATATGGAGCACCACTTGGCAAATGGAATTTAATGTTAATAAATGTCATGTTATGGAATGTGGAATAGGAGAACATAGACCCCACACAACCTATATATTATGTGAGAAATCTTTAAAGAATTCTGATAAAGAAAGAGATCTAGGAGTGGTTCTAGATAGAAAACTATCACCTGAGGACCACATAAAGAATATTGTGCAAGGAGCCTATGCTATGCTTTCTAACTTCAGAATTGCATTTAAATACATGGATGGCGATATACTAAAGAAATTGTTCATGACTTTTGTTAGGCCAAAGCTAGAATATGCAGCTGTTGTGTGGTGCCCATATCTTAAGAAGCACATCAACAAACTGGAAAAGGTGCAAAGACATGCTACTAAGTGGCTCCCAGAACTGAAGGGCAAGAGCTACGAGGAGAGGTTAGAAGCATTAAATATGCCAAAACTAGAAGACAGAAGAAAAAGAGGTGATATGATCACTACATACAAAATAGTAACAGGAATTGACAAAATCGACAGGGAAGACTTCCTGAGACCTGGAACTTCAAGAACAAGAGGTCATAGATTTAAACTAGCTAAACACAGATGCCGAAGAAATATAAGAAAATTCACCTTCGCAAATAGAGTGGTAGACGGTTGGAACAAGTTAAGTGAGAAGGTGGTGGAGGCCAAGACCGTCAGTAGTTTCAAAGCGTTATATGACAAAGAGTGCTGGGAAGACGGGACACCACGAGCGTAGCTCTCATCCTGTAACTACACTTAGGTAATTACACTTAGGTAATTACACACACACATGCTCGTGCAGACTCCATACACAGTTTCAAATGTTGATATGATAGAGCCCAGTAGGCTCAGGAATCTGTACACCAGTTGATTGACAGTTGAGAGGCGGGACCAAAGAGCTAGCGCTCAACCTCCACAAACACAACTAGGCGAGATTATACACACACGCGCACACACACGATACACGCATGCATACATAATATTGTATATATATTATATGAACGAGGTTGATGACCATTTCAAGATGACACTTGAATTGGCTTAAATGCATTTATATTCCGGTAAGTGTTATTATTTTGTATTTTAAGTCATTACTGTACATCACATTGTTGAATTGATAAGATTTGTTTTACTGTGAGCTTACATTTCATTATTTTAAGATAGTGCCATACAGAAAAACCTGTACATTATCAATATTAATTAAAATAAAACTTTTGCATAAAATATTGACACTTTTCATCTCACTTTATAAACAATAAATAAAGGTTATAAAACTAATCTCATTATTTGTTGCACATTAAATGTTTGAGTACTGTCCTTAACAAACTCGCATGAGTATAATGCTAACACATTCACATCTTGGCTGATACGCATTTAGAACCCTTTAAATATCCTGTGACATGGATAGTACTAAATAGTCAGTCTGGCCTAGTGCCTTCTTTTAATATAATTATTTACACCAATACTAAACAACCTTCAGGTGCCACAACTTTGCCAGTGGCCTAAATCTCTAAATCCTAAATCTTTCTCATGTGTCTGCTCTGTTTCCTCATAAAAAAAATGATATAGATAATTATCAAAATGAAGTGCTCGAATTAAATTGTTTATATTTAATTTTTGAGATATACGTTATTTAAATTTTTTCAAGATTAAGTGAATATAAAGTACCGCATGAGTATCAAATGCCATGAAGAGGTTAGTGAGGCATAAAATGGATTGAAAAGAGGCTTGACCTGTTAAACACCTGACAATTGTAGTTTAGTTCATTTATCATGCACCCCATACCCATCTCATGGTCGGAGTGGAAAGGGTTACAGAGGCACATAATGGGCTCAGGGACTGAATCCCACAATTCATTTAGCTAAGCAAGTTACAATCTTGATTGTAACAACCAATATAGCAAGTTTTTAACCACCTAATACGTCATCAAAACGTCATAACAAGATGTAAACAAGTTTACAAGTTGTAACAAGGGAATCATAGGGACCGTTACGTTTTGTGTTTGCAGGGGAATGCATCACCGCCAATAAGGTGACAGCAGTATATAGGAGTGGATAAACCGCAACCCGTTCTCGCAGATTTAATAAGTCAATATTGACTTATTAGTTGCGTGAATAGGTGACATACTAAACATAATAGTTTCCCTTGAAAAGCTTCATAGAAAACACCGACCTTACCTAACCTACTTAGTATGTTAAAATAAGCATCTTATAGCTTCGTAATTACAATTGTTACTTAACCTATTATAGGTATAGGTTAGGTAATAATTGTAATTACGAAGCAATAAGATGCTTATCTTAACATACTAAGTAGGTTAGGTAAGGTCGGTGTTTTCTATGAAGCTTTTCAAGGGAAACTATTATGTTAAGTATGTCACCTATGCACATATTTAATAAGTCAATATTGACTTATTAAATTTGCGAGAACGGGTTGAAAACTAGTGATAGAGTGAAACACGGAAAGAAACTGAAAACAAACTCAAAATTATACAATGAAACCAGTAATATAAGCAACAAAGAAAATACAGAACTAATAGTGAAATGCAAGGTAAAAATTGCGAATAAAACTGCCATGCACAGATATGAAGGGAACTTTATTATTCACTTGCCGTAGTGCCTTGTTCTTGGTAAGGTGACCACCTGCACCTGAGGAACACTATGAGCCACATAGGCAGAGCTCCGAGCCCCTACGAATCGCAGGAGTAAAGGTTGGGTGATTAAGGAGAAAGCGCTAAGCCAATATGACTATATGGCACACCGTGAGGAGTACTCGGCGGTGCCTGGGATAGTCTCTCCCCTCTCTCCCATTCCCCATTCCACCCCCTTTTCTATTCCCCTTTCCACACATTCTGCCTGCACCCTCTAATCCTCCCGTTCTCCCTTCCTGTCTCTCTTCCTCTTCCTTTCATCTCTCCCATTTCTCTATCCTCACTCTCTCTGCTTTTCATCCCCCTCCATTTTTTCTTATAGAAATATACATCATTATTCACTGATCTCAGAAAATTAGCAAAAATTTTCTGCTATTCAAACTTAGGCCATAGTAACATAAAACACGTAACTACTACTGGGTCCGGTGGCGTTTCCCCTATCAGAGAAAACTGAAGGTTAACTCACAGATTCAAAGGGAAACTATTCTATACTGTGTGTATGTCAAGACATACTGACACTTGGTCTTGTGTTACCAAAATGGGTACCTGGCATTGCCAGGATAGTTTCTTTCCTCTCACCCCCATTCCCCTTCCCCTTTCCCCCCCTTCCTCTTCCTCACCCCGACTTCCCTCACATTTCCTCCCTCTTTTTCTTCCCTGTCCCCACTCTTCCTTGCTCGTCTCCAACTTCAGACATATTTTCATTTAATACAGAATTCACTTTCACGTGAGGAAATCTAGGGACTTGGGCACCCATATTTCACTGATTTTTTTGAGCAAGGTGTCAATAATGAGTTTTACTTCCTCTTAATAAGACAGACCACCTATTGGTGGTCTGTTTCTGGCCTATGTGCGTCGTTTCTGTCCTGCCCTGGGATCGAATCTGGATCCCTAGGTTGTGAACCGAGAACGTAGACTACTGCTCTACAAAACTCCATATATTAGCGAGGTTCTTTAGAATTTTTCACCTATCGATTTAATATATTTGATTTAAGCGAAGGTATGCCCCCGCATACTACAGCCATCTTATATAACCTGCTGCTTTATAATACTTCATTACACACAGAAATCACGATCTTGGACGTAGGTTCGAATCCTCGTCACGGGGTTTGTGGATTTGTTCGTTTAATGGAATATAATGTTTTGTCTTGCCTGGTAACTCACATACCTCTCAGCCACATGTGTAAGTCATGTAATAGACACCATACAGCAGATTGATAGCACATATAAGAAGACAGCAATGATCACAATTGTTTTTGGGTAGACTCCTATTACATTTACTGTGTGATTGTTGTACTAATATATAATAATATGTATTAAGAGTAAACGCTTAGCATGTAATATTTATTAATAAAAACAAAGTCAGAAGCTACACGCCTGTCTCTACATGTCTCATGTGTTAATTTTGGGCGCTCTTGTACTTGTGCGCTAGCTGGCGTTCACAACTGATCACGCCTGCAAGGACTAGATTTAGTCAATCATAATGATAATAATGTGTATTTATTTAGGGAAATAAATTGTTGGGCCCACTCAGACATAATGGGCCTCAGAAATAATCGAAACATTATAATAATTAATTTTTGTTGTATTAAAAATATAAATAAAACCCATGGTTACTCTAAATATGAACACTAGAAAACCTTCAATACCACAGGGAAACTTCGCATCTACTGCAGATAAAGCGATAATATGTACGTATGTGTGAAAACCCTCCTGGAATTGTCGCGATTAAAGGATCTACTTATCCGCAACTCAGTGCTTAACTTTGCCCATGAACTATAGGCATCGATGGTACACTCCCTTTCCTCCATGTCTACGTGAGAACCTAAACAACTTTTACCACAGAAGATTATACTAAACCCACCAGTACGTCTGATACCATACTACTTGTGTAAAGGAGGAAATGTAGATATTTATCTCTCTGAATGTTTGGTAATATGTTTATTGTATGTGATGTGTGTCTATGTATGTATTAACACGATGTACTGAACGGGGTGAGAATAGCTTGAGCTACCTCATCCCTTTGTGTGTATTTTACCTCAATAAACTTAATTCAATTTTCAATTTCAACACTGGAATGTGTATGAATGGTCAGACTAAGAATAAGAATAGTGTAATAAACGCAATTATACTCAGAGC